TGTGAGGCAGCTGGGGTGCGAGTCAGTCAGGGTGTGAGGCGGATGGGGCCCAGTCAGCGTCGCCATACTACACCCTCATCACTCTAATTATCAAATTGCTGCTTTAAGAGGCCATTGATTGATGTCATTAACTCGCTGAGTGTTTACTGATCGCAGCCCCAACCCATTTCTCCAGCAGTGCCAATAGATCGCTGAACATCTGCAGCAGCAACAGACACACACCCACACACCCACCCACCTACACACACATGTCAGGTAAACATATCTTTATGGGGAACACTCATTCATTTCTATGGGGAAAATGCTAACGCTAACTATGACAACCTTAACCCCTACCCAGCCCTAACCATAACCATAAGTAACCAAGCAAAATACAAGAGTTTTTGCATTTTTAGTTTTTTCATTGCAGTCACAGATTTTTATTCAATTGAGTTTTCCCAGGAAACTGGTCCCCATAAGGGAAAAAAACGGCTTCTCCATCACGTTGTGGGGACATTGTGTTCCCATAAGGTAAGGAATACCCACTCACACACACACACACAAACACACACACACATACAGTATTTGACTGCATGCTACCTCAAAGTTCAGTATTAATCCCACGAGGGCCATTAGCAGCACCCTTAGACAATAAGCTAGCTTATAATAGTTAAGATGATAATACCGCCACAGCCACATTGTCTCAGACACATACGGAAGCCTCCAGGCCCACATTAAAAACATCCCAACCCCCCAGGACCCTGTTTCCCCTCAAAAGGTGAGAATCTACTGCAACAGAACTAATGCCTTTATATACAACCTAGATAGATAGATAGATAGATAGATCTTATGACGTAGCCAACAACACTACCCCCCCTCCTCCCCGGGGGTCTGGCAGGGTCCAGGGACTGCAGAATGGCACAAACGTGCCTTAATGTGCAGAGAGGGAGTGACAGATATTGAATTTAAATATGAGCCGGGGGCGGGGGGGGTGAGGGTGGCTGATTAGGAAGCAGGCCTGGATCGATGGACGAGCTGACAGATAGATTACTAAGGTAAACAGATGATACAAGCTGCTAAATTATTAATTGGACTGCGAGGATTTGGGCAGCCAGTGACATGCAGGCAGGGGAAGTAGCAACACTTTAAAACGTGTGTCAGAGTCCCCATCCCCCACCCAGACCACGCAGGGAACGCAGCCTCACTGAGTATGTGCAGAACGGCTGTCTGGAAACCATAAGGTTAGTGATTAAACTGTAATTACGCTCTTCAGTGCCCCAAACACTGCTGAAAGTGTCTGTCTGTCTCTGTGAGTGTGTTTCTTTCTGCCTATATGCATGTGTATCTGTGTGTGAGTCCCCAGTCAGCTTGGGCCCCCAACAGTCCGGGCCCATGCCAGCCAGAACACGCAGACCACAGGGGCAGCTGTGACCCACGGCCCCCGCCGCCGCCGCTGGATGGAGTGAGGGGCCACTGTGAGGCTCTGTGCCCAGGACTAGTAGTTTGCCTGAACACGCCTTTGTTTCACTGGTGTTCTAACAGTGCTCCAGACAGGTTGGCATTGCGGGTAGTCCCTACGTCTCCGGGTGACCCTCTCCCCTCGCAGACATGGGCCGTCTGCATCCCCGTCATTCTGCATGCTGTGGTGCTCATGTGACTCGCCACTCATTAGCCTAACAGTGGATCCCGTGGTGCATTTCAGTCATCAGGGTCGCCCACCACTCGGCATCCAGGGCAAGGGGCCCAGGCAACAAAGGGCAGACAGGAAGCGTTAATCGGCCACAATGGGGCAGCCCGCTAGCCCTTAACCGTTTCATAGCCACCTGCTGCCACGCCAACCGTGCTGAACATGGTGGACAAGTTTCAGGAAACAAACTCGAAACAGTCCAAGTGAAAAACAGGAAGCTTCCAGAAAAGGGTGGTATCTGTGGCTGTAAGAAAAGACCACAGGGAGAAAGTAAGATCTGCTTAAATAGAGGATCAGTCTCCGAGGCTCGCAAGGTCGCAGATGAGGGTGACTGAGAGGCAGGGAGGCAGACAGAGGCAGCCATGCTGGGACAAGCGGCTGGGGGGCCAGGGGGCAAGCCTTTTAACATCTGGGGGTGCACAGCCTTGCTCCACAGAGGCTGCGTAATCATTAGAACACTCTCACTTAACTTAACCTCGCCACCAGACCGTAACGGGGGCTTTGGGGGGGGGGGGGGGGGGGTTTGAGGATGACGATGTCTGTCTCCTTGGAGGCGCAGTCTGTTTAACTCCTTGCCTTCCAGTGCAGGATAAATGTTACAGCAGCATTTTGCCGTTGATAACGTAGTGAAAAATTTCACTTGACTTGTTTCACTGTGAGGGATAGTCCACAATGTCACTGGCTCTGCTGCACTTGATGGTCAGCACTCATCCCAAAGCTCTAGACTTGTACAGACATTTTTAGATATTTCTCATTCCCTCAGTTCGTTTCAAGATAATTTTAGTTTTGTTTGGAAATGTTAACAGTAATTAAAAAAATATCATCACTGTCCATCTCTCTGCCTGTCTAACTCTCCATCTCCCTGCCTGTCTCCATCTCTCTGTGTCTCTCCATTTCTGTCTTTCCTTCTCTCTGCCTGTCTCACTCTCCATCTCTCTGCCTGTCTCCATCTCTCTGTGTCTCTCTCCATCTCTGTCTTTCCTTCTCTCTGCCTGTCTCACTCTTCATCTCTCTGCCTGTCTCACTTGCCATCTGTCTCTCTGTCACTCTATATGTCTATTACTCTGTCTGTGTCTCTGACTTGGTCTGTTTTTCTCTTCCCCTCTCTCTTTCCCCTTCCTCTCTCCCTCTTTCCCCCTCTCTCTCCCCCTCTCTCTCTTCCTCTTCCCCTCTCTGTTCCTCCTCTCCTCTCCTCCTCCCCTCCCCCACAGTCTGTCTGCAGACCTTAAGGATCAGGGTTCACCGCCCAGCATTGCGATTGTTTCTCTTCTCCATAACTGCTCCCCGAAGTTTCCAGTATCTCCCCAAAGAAAAACAAGCACGGTGTGGCCTCAGCTGAAGACATCTGCTCTTTGAAAAAGACGACATGTTTAAACAGCTGTCAGATCGCACTGCGCCTTGCAGCAGCAGACACAAGGAACAGCGCAATGAGGCAGCCTGGCTCTGACACATCTGTGAGACGCCACTGAAAACACGGCATACCGAGTTACTCACACTGACGCCCTGTACAATGCCAGCAGATAATTAGGGGTGCAAATAAATGGATGGATAGACACCTTGAAAGACAGACAGACAGAGAGACAGACAGAGAGAGCATAATCTCGTAGAGCTGCACACAGACCCTGCTGTTCCCCCGGTATACAGCCAGAAGTGACATAAGAGAACTTGCTGTAGAGCCCCTTGTCTTGTCCAGAGAGCAAGCAGCCCGCAGCCCCCCATGTCCCTGAAAGGTCATTACGACGACAGCTCCAAGTCTCACCGATGGGCAGCGCCCCCCCCCGCCCCCCCCCCACCCCGGCGCCGCCCCCGGGGGGGGGGGGGGGGGGGGGGGGGGGGGGGGGGGGGGGGGGGGGGGGGGGGGGGGGGGGGGGGGGGGGGGGGGTGGCGTAAATCAGTGGGGATTTATGGAGGAAGGAAGCACGCGTGGACGCAATCTGTTGTCGTGAGGGTTTTTCTGTTTTATTCCGGCTGCTCAGGAAGGCAGTGGGTCTCTGCATTTCAACTCAAAGCAGCGGCGCACTCATCCCTGCTTTCATTATTGCTTTTATCTCTCCCTGCCGCCCCTTACTTGCCCCCACAGACTGGATGCTCTTAGTCTCTGTATTAACACACACACACAGATACACACATATAATATTTCGTCATGACGACGGGCCTTGGGGAGGCGGCTTAGGGCGGCTGGAGGCCAGAAACGCCTGGCGTGGGCCAGGCAGGACGGGAGAGACGCTGTTACTCAGCCGGAGCCAGTGGAGAGGAACCCGTTAAGTCTCTTACACAGAAGTGGTGAAATTCAATTGCATTAAAGGCTCTGTGGGCTGGGCTTTAATCTAATTAGATCCCGCTCTGAAAGGGAGAAAGCAGCTCCTTCCCTAGATCCTGGCCAGTGAGAGTGTACAGGAGGCCAAAAACCCACCGGGCCCACACCTTAACCCCCCCCCAGGTGTGCCGGGGAGCCGTGGGGACAGGACATGGGCTGCAAGTGACCGTGACACTGCCATGTGTGACTTTAGGGGTGACCTGTCCTAACATTCCATTAGCAAAGAGACTCCATCTGCAGCTCCGATGGTCTGGCCTGACAGCTCAGCCTGGCACCTCATGCAGATACCTGCAGCCTTCAGAGGGGCGGAGCAGTGGGGGCAGAGCGGTGGGCGAGGGGCACAGCAGTGGGGGGCAGAACGGAGCAGTGGGGGGCAGAGTGGTAGGTGAGGGGCGGAGCAGTGGGGGCAGAGCAATGGGGGCAGAGTGGTAGGTGAGGGGCGGAGCAGTGGGGGGCAGAACGGAGCAGTGGGGGGCAGAGTGGTAGGTGAGGGGCGGAGCAGTGGGGGCAGAGCGGTGGGCGAGGGGCGGAGCAGTGGGGGTAGAGTGGTAGGTGAGGGGCGGAGCAGTGCGGGCACAGCAGTGGGCGATGGGCGGAGCAGTCGGTGGCAGAACGGAGCAGTGGGTGTAGAGTGGAAGTTGAGGGGCGGAGCAGTGGGGGCAGAGTGGTAGGTGGGGGGCGGGGCAGTGGGGGCAGAGCGGTAGCGTGGGCCTGTCACCCTGCTGTCATGTGACACCCCCCAGAAGTCCCTCCAGTCTTCCCACACACCAGTTCCCAATCAGAACGAGGGATAAGGTCATGTGACCTCCCTCACAGCAGCATGGCACGACCACAGAGAATGCAGTCTCGGCGTAAGCGTGCTGTGAGCAGGACAGGCTGAGCATTTGTGGCCCCTTAGGCTTTCATTCTCCGTACACAATTAGGTGGCATCAGAGATCACTCCAGGCCATCGGAAACACCTGACACAGGGCTTATGTGTGGCGCTTGCTGTGGGCGGCCAGGATATGGGCTACTTACAGCGCTCGATGCGGTCCTCTGGGCTGGACGAGGCCTCGCGGTCAGACAGCAGACCCGACACTGCGAAGATCTTCTTTCCGGCGTCCTCCACGGCTTTCAGGGCTCCCGGCGAGCTAGATGGGATCTGCGTCCCCCCGTAGTCATACTCCTTCCCCTCAGCATCCGAATAACGCAGGTGGGGGGAGGCCTCTGCCTCCAGGCAGCCCTTCAGGCGCTTGGCGGGCGTGAAAGCTGACTGGTAGCCGGCGGCGGCACCGTCACGCTCCTCTGGGGGCGACGCAAAGGGCCGGAAGGCACCCACACCGCTGTGGTTCAGCATGCTGATGGGGGTGCAGTCCAGGTTGGGTGGGGCAAACTGGTGGTGCAGGTGGAGTAGGGAGGGCGGAAAGTCCCGGCTGGGAAATCCACCCGGCACGGCACCCTGCCGGTGGTACATGGAGGCGAACGTGTAGGAGCCGTTGGTGAAGGGGAGGTGCACCTCCTTCTCCACGGACACAGGCACACCAAAGGGGCGCGGCTGCTGGCATGGGATGGAGGCGTCGCGGCTGGCCTCAGCCGTGGAGGCCAGCACCATGAGGGCAGGCGATGCCAGTGGGTTGGGCAGGTAGGAGGAGCTCTCCATCTTAAAGGCGGCGCGGTGCAGGTCCATGAGCTGCTGAGGGAAGCCTCCTGCAACAGAGAGAAGATGGGAGCGGGGCAGCTCCGGTGAGGCAGTGAGGCAGCGAGGCAGCTCCGGCGAGGTGGCAAGGCAGTGAGGCAGCTCTGGTGAGGCGGCCTTGCCGATCCTGGGAATCGTCCACACAGCTTGGAGAGATTCACAGCTCACCGCTGGCTCATCCTCAGGAGGGCGTACTCTGCAGGGACAAGGGGCACAATTAAGCAAGGAGTGCAAAGCCACTGCTGTCCCTCAGCTGAAAGCTGAGGCCAGGACCACAGATGAATGGCACCAACTCACATCAGAAAAGAGCCTGGGACAACTCATGTGAGTGTTTCTGCATCCTACCCTCATCCCCGAATACAGCATGATGGCTTACCCAACCCACATCTGCACAGCAAATCTGATTGGATGAGTAACCTTTGACCACTCGTGGCCTGAAACAGCTGGAGGGAGCCGGTTTGTGAAAGGCCTGCATCCAAACCCTGCCAGAGCAGGCAGGCCTTGCACACATCTGAGGGCCATTGTGAGGGTGTGCTGTCCCGCCAGGCCTTCAAGTCACATGCTCGGAATAAAAGAAAACTCCCTAATTACCTGAAAATCCTGGTCCAGCATCCTAATACCTGGGAATATCATCTTGGAATAAATCCAAACGAGCTTGATGGGCCGAATGGCCTCCTCTCGTTTGTAAATGTCTTATGTTCTTATGATCTTATGTTCTTAAGTGTGAATACATGCTGCCCCATCTGTCCAAAACAAACTGTCACAGTGCTGCGTGACCCGGTAGAACCACTGCATCACTGGACGGCCCCCCGGCCCTCATCGCGGCCCCAGAACTAGAAGCTGGAAAATCACCGCGAATAATAAAAGGCATTGGCCATACTCATCACGACCATGTGACAAGCAGATAGCCAATCAGATACGAGCTGGGCAGCTGCTGACAGACAGCAAACACAGTAATAAGTGCCCAGATATTTCATTGCTATTACAGTTGCCAACGGGACACTGAGTCCACATGAAACTGACAATCCAATAAAAGGCTACCGGATCTCCCCTTGCGGGGAGGCAGGAGCGAGCAGGACGTGCTTATTGGCAATCCAGTCTCCAGGGGGCGCCCCAGAGCAGACCCTTCGCCCACAGGCCCGCGGGCTCCACACTGTCCTGGCAGTTTTACATGCATTCCCGTCTGAGATGTTACAGGAATGTGCACATGCATTTTCACAGCGTACATTTTTGCCGAGCATGACTGCTGTGACATCTGTAATTCCTGAGGCGTTATGTGCCCCCTGCATGATGTAAGCCAAATATTCCTATTCTGAAGGACCAGTGTCAGCTGGAGAACAAATGGACTCTGTCAGAGCTGCCTGACAGCCTGTCACGTGACCCGGGCATCACACGCCAGTGTGTGACTGTCACAGGGCTTTTTGCCGCTTGTCAGGTTCTTACTGATTCCTGACAGGCGTCGATGTGGTTTAAACACCTCCTAGCCCCACACGCAAAGACCCCAGATAGCTGACGCTCTTGTAAAGGGCGTGGCCACTTGCAGGACGGGGACGGGGGTGCGGTCATCACCCAGCAAAGACCCCGAATCGCTGACACTTGTGTAAAGGGCGTGGCCACTTGCAGGACGGGGACAGGGGTGCGGTCATCACCTAGCAAAGACCCGGAATCGCTGACACTTGTGTAAAGGGCGTGGCCACTTACAGGACGGGGACAGGGGTGCAGTCATCACCTAGCAAAGACCCCGAATCGCTGACACTTGTGTAAAGGGCGTGGCCACTTACAGAACGGGGACGGGGGTGCGGTCATCACCCAGCAAAGACCCCGAATCGCTGACACTTGTGTAAAGGGGGTGGCCACTTACAGAACGGGGACAGGGGTGCGGTCATCACCCAGCAAAGACCCCGAATCGCTGACACTTGTGTAAAGGGCGTGGCCACTTACAGGACAGGGACGGTGCGGTCATCACCCAGCAAATACCCCAAATCGCTGACCACGCAGCAGCCAATGATATGACGCCAGTACCGGTATATTACGGCCAGAAACCGGTCCACCTTCCTTCACAGCGCCACGCCGAGACTGTCAGCTTCAGCAGCCAATGGTAACGAAATCGAACGATGCAGAAACAGGCAAAGCGGGCGAGCAAATTGATTCATTGCAGACTAAATCATTATCAGTTTGCTAACCTGCTCCGGTTCCGCATTTCAGGCGCTGCGCAGCGGCGCACCTGAGCCAGCCTAATTCCAGGCTAAGCACAGATTATTTGTAAGGTGTCTGGCTTCTGGAGCTCAAATGCAGCAGACACTACAGAAGCCCCCACCCCCACCTCTCGGCCCCATAGAGGATCATCACTCTGCGAAACGGGGGGGAAAGCGAGATATCTCCCGTCCTCCTCCGAGCTCCCAGACTGAACCGTTTGGCAAACCACTGGATCTTTAGCGACGACCTGCTGGCCCGGAGCACAGGGACCGGTTCAGGAGCGCTGCGGTCCGGACAGCGCGAATCACAGCGCTTCCGTTTAATATTCATGTGCGGGAAGAAAGTTAGGAGCGAGCAGCTTTCACTCTGTTTGCCTATGTAAATGGAGAGGGGGGTTCGTTACTCAAGCTGCTCCTTTATGCTAAACGATTCACGAAATACAAGACATTCAACACAAACAGCTAACGGCAAACTCATACCGTGTGTAAAGATATAAGAAAAGATACTGTAACAGGACAAACAAATCCTTTGGAGTTTGTTTTCCTCAAATGATAAAATGCCGAATTCACGTGAAGCCGCGGGAAAAGTTGGGAAATGCCGCACTAGTCGCACATTCCCCTAGTAACGCGGAATTAGCTGCCAACGCGCTGGTTGCGCCGCCCGGAAACACTGAAAATGAAACCAGTCCATTTTACACTTTACAAATACACGATTTATTGACCGAAAAGAATGGCAGAAAAAAGTCTCTTCCTTGAGTCTTCGTGCCGGTCCAATATATTTCAGATTCCTTAAATTATACAATTACACCTTAAAATTTACTATAAATTACGATGTATACTGATGAAATTATTGCCCTAATAAATTATATATATATATATATATATATATATATATATATATATATATATATATATATATATATATATACACACACACACACACACGTATAGTAAGAAATATGCCTGTTGGAGAAGTATTTAATGCAATTTACAATAAATCAAAACTACACAGCCTCCTTGATCTCCTCGTGCTTAAAAATATTATTTCCTTAAACATGAAATGAATTTTAATTTGTTTGTTTTTTAAAAAAAGTTTTTACAGTAAAATAAGGGCTAGCACAGCTGCCGTGCCGTGTCTTCTGCTCTAACGCGGCCCGTCTAACGGCCGTGAAAACAGTAACGGCAAAATAATATATATTATACCAAACAAATGTGAATTTTTCATATTTGTTTGATAAATCAAATATTTTATATTTGTTTGATAAAATATTGTTAATTGTTTTATTACATTGCCTAAATCATTTTACACATTGAAAGGCCATTGTTAAATACAGGATGCATTAACTTACTCGATTATAAGCAATACGATCAAGCTTATATCGGACACATTGTCTAGTAAAAAATGTTTATTCTCATCTTTATTTTCTACCTGCACCCTTTAATGTTTTTCAGAAAACAGAAGATTAAAATAAAATGTACTTTTTAAATGTAGTTTTAAAATAATGCCTAGTCTTATGTATGTCGTATTCAAATATGAATGTTTAAACACAATACAAATGCGATGCACTGCATTTAAAAATATTGGATTAAAAATAGTAAAAAAACTACAGAGTCCTGTCGGGTGAGCAGGGGGTAGCCAGGGGTCGGGTGCCGACGAGTATCGCACAGTCAGCTCGATTAAAAGCCGGGGCGTCGGGTGACAGGTGTGGGCAGCGGCCGCACATCAGGCGCCCCAAGCCCCTCACCGGACGCAAACACCCGACTGCCGGTTTACGTCGATAAAAAAATTCAGGGCGAAATCATACATAAATAACCTTACGCATTTTTTCTGCACATGTAAAATATGTAAAGTTAAACATGACTTTCTTATTAGCGTTTGAATTGTTATTCCGCTTCATCTGCATGACAAATGCGCTTTAAGTGAAGTGTTCGCTGGCGCATCGGCAGCGCACAAGCGCACGGGAATATCCGCGTGGACATGTACACTTCATTTACTGTGGGCGTCAAAGTGCCTGTTGGGTTTGTGTGCTGGCATAAAGCCGGGGCACATGTAAGTTAAAGCTAGTACGCCAATGCAGTTTTAATTTACACCGCACGCGTCCTTTGCTCACATTTGAACACCATCCACAGCCTTTCTAATTGTTCTGCAGAAAAGAAAACGTTCAGGTCCCAGTCCTCGCTCTCCGATTTTTAATTCTGCACAAATCCAGATTAAAATAACTCTGGCAATTGATCCAGAGACTGGAATCGACATTAATTTTAGTTCACTTCTCACTTCGCGCGGGGATCAATGGGGACCAATAACAGCCGACATCGCTACTGAAAAGAGCAGAACGGAAAGACCGGCGTGGAAATCGAAACGCCGCCAAATAAATCATGTTACTTTTCTTTCGCCCTCCAGTTTCATGTTGGTCCGCTCTTTTCGCAGCCAGAAACCGGGAACCCGAAACCAAAAGACGAGCAGTCTCTTCCTGCTATAAGGCCATCAGTGGGGAAATCTATCAGGAGGAAACAAATTGAAGAGCAGACTTTGTGTGATCAGGTGCTGGAGGATGTGTACAAACAGACCTCGGTGGCCATGATCCGGAGCTGAGGGGAAAAACAGACACAGCAAACAGGCGCGACCGCCGCTCTGCAACGCGTAGAAAGGGAGGATTCAGAAATCTCTCCTCGAATAAATCACATGCATCTTACTTCAATTAAGTAATCAGCTGCAAGGTTTTTTTCTTTTTTTCTACGAGTAAAAAATAACTTGAAATTCCTTCCATGACAGGCCTCATAAAACACTTTGCGCCACGGATCATCAGTTGATAAATGCAGTTTGTTACAAATAAAAACGGTTCTATTGACTAATAATTTTGTAATACCTCAAGTCCACTATTGTCGTTCATCTTCCCATAATTATGTTATAATTCACGTTGGCTTGATCCTTCAAATAATAATTCTCAATTAACACATGTGCTTAACTCTTACCAAACGTTTGACAGGCAATAATTCAGTGGTTTCGCTGGCCTGTGATTAAACGCTATATACCACAGCAAAGGGGGGATATTTCAATGAACAATATGTGTCGTGTATAAAAAATACTATTCGGTAGTTGCTACAGCCACAGAATGTAAAGCTTAAATTAATGGTTCGGAGCTACAAATAAAACGCACTTCCTTAATAAAAATAAGGCGACAGAATGCAATAATATTTCTGTGCGGTTCCATATAAAAATAACGCATCTCAAACAGTAAAAATATAATGATGGGAAACAAAACATTGTTCATAAGAATATTTAATCAAAAATCGACACCTAGACTGACTCCCCACAGTTTCTACGAAACCGGAGTCAAATGATATTTTGGAAAGCCCTACAGGTATCTGATCAAATATATTAATATTTTAGCGGTTATAATATTTTTATTTAGGGATTTTAGAGATATATTAAACCATCCAAGAGCAGATTCGTTTGTATCATAACTATTTATTCATAATTGAATAGACCAGACTATATGTGCGTGTGTGTATATATATATTATATATTATATATATAATTACTAATACTCAGATATCAGCCTTTCAAATATTTAATGATCTTACACGCGTTTTGCTATTCAAATCTAAATAATTTCGAATAATCTAGAGTATATAATGTTTCTCTACCCTTACAAGCGCTCGTAATTTCCATAGGAAATTCTGAACATGTAAGAAGCAATATTGTTCATTCATTTACACAAATTAAAATTAGACATGCAACAAGATAACATCCTGTACCAACTACGCGTGTGACAAAGGGGAATTAAGCTCATGAGCTTTACGGAAACAACGTGCGCGATAAAAACTTGAGGACGGGAAGCAGCGACGTGCGATAAAAAAAAGATTAAATGCGAGCACAAGTTCACAAGAGCTTCAATCTGCGTGCAAAGAAATGTTTGAACTTTAAAACGATCCAGTCTAAAAAGTCACTTTCCATATAATGAGCAAAATCGGATATGATGGCAATTTCAAACACGGCCGTTTAATTACGCTTCTTGAACAAAAATATCAGTTATAATAATTAATCTGTTACAGTACAATTCTAAATAATGTTCTTACTTTGCCGACAACATCGAGCAGCAGAACAACTCGTGTGCGGTTAATATCTTCGTTTAAGCAACTTGCTCATTGTTCCCGGCGTAATATTTGCCCGCTTTTGCCGAACAGCCTGCGTCTGGGATCCGCTTCCTTAACTTCACTTCAGCGGAAAACGGCTAAATCATGTCCAGTGACTGCAGGCCGGATGTAAACTGTACTCAGCCGCACTAAACAGGTGTTTCCGCCACTGCAGGACAACAGTCACCCGAGGAAATCAAAACTGCACATTGACACCTGCACCTTACATTTAGAAATATCAAGGTCCTTTGAGTATGGAGATGTGAGGCACTTAGATAACACACACGAACAATCGGTGAAAAATAGAACAAACATGTGAATCAATCAAAGAAAATTTCAGAGGAGATAATTAATTATTCGTTCAATTTGTATTATACATGATCCATATATGCTACAAATTCCATATGTATAGAATATTATATATTAAATATATTGAAAATGTATAAGGGTTTAGACATCATTCATCAAGAAAATCTCTCCCAAATGTACAGACCCTTTGAATTACAGTGAAATATAAGTTAAACCGCTTGCAAAGGTTTAGTGCCATTAAAACAAAACACCGATTCCAATTTTATACTGTGACTCATAATATGTGGCTGGGTTTATTTAAACGCGTGGATTTATTTAAATGTGTGGATTTATAAATTACATCATAATTATAGTTAGCCTACAGAAAGTAAGCAAATTAGCCATAAATCATGACATATTATTGTTACTGTTTAATCGTACACAAAAAATAATAGTGATTTCAATGTTTAAAATTTACGGTATGTTTTTCATCGATGTTTGTTGTCATTTACTAGTTTAATTTTGCGGTGCACTATGACAGCACAAAAGAATCCCCGTGAATGTAGATTGAAACACGTGTGAAAGTTACATTTGCCTAAAAGACTAAGCGCCTAAGCTCGACTGTCAGACGCGCGTGATGAAAGTTTGGGGGAAACGCAGAGTTGAAAACTCTGCCAAAGTTTCCGAAGACACATCCATAGCAACCGAAATACTCAACACACACACAGGCAGAGGCGAGGAAAGTGGACGAAAGCTTTTAAATGCCAAATACTTAAAGTACTTCTCGAGGATTTAAATATTCCAGATGTGTCACAAAGCTTTGTGCGGCGAGCGAACATCTAAATGTATCAATACGGATCAATGATCAAAAGTAACAACTATCGACAACCTATCCATACGAAAATGAAAACGCTAATTAAAGATATAGTTCAACTGCCAGTTTAAATTAAACTTAATGCAGAAACACGCAAAACGCGTTTATTTGTGTAACGGGGTTGAGTAAAACTGCGGCTTGCACATTAAAATCACCATAGAAGTTAAGCGGTAACAGTTGAAAATGTAGCCCATGTGAAGCCTTTCTGGAGCACTTACTGTGTTAAAAAGCAGTCCCTCCGGACGTCCCCGGATGCCCCTGATCCTGGCGCACACGGAGCAGAGTGAGAGCCCGGCTCTGGACGCCGCCGTGCCGGATCAGGCTGTGCCCTGACTGTGCGCTAGATCAGGCTGTGCCTTGCCTGTGTGCCGGACCCGCTATCAGCGGCATTCACCGATGAGGAGGAATTTTTGTCGAGAAGCAGAAAAGCGAAGAAAAGGAGAGAGATGGGATGTTGAGCTCGGAGGTGCGTGTGAGGCGCAGTGCTGCCGCTCAGCGCCGGATCCGCTCATTGACTGACACGCTCCCCCCGTCGTCTGCGCCTTCCCACCTTTGGCTTCCCCTTCGGGGCTTTCTGTCGCTTTGTGAAAACCCAGCCAATGCTCTCAGGGAAAATAATGTGTCGGCAAAATAACGCAAAACATCTCACCTTAAAAACATTTTACATTTATAAACCCCTGACCGGTGCATAATGTTATACTTGACCTGGGGAGTTACCTTGTACCGAAGAAACCTTTAGCGAAGCGTCGTTAATATTACGACGTACGGATGCTAATAAGCATATATAAACAAGTAGCGCTGTTTGTAGCGCTTTAGGTGGAAACACTGACGGATAAGGGGGAAAACAACTTTTTAAAGCAGATTGCAAGCGATGTTTGTCTCAAACAAGTTTATTTAGCTTTAGTCCCGCAAGGCACTTCCCAAAAACACCAACATAAATCCGTTTTTACCCCCAAAACACTCACGTCCTGCGAGCTGGCCGAAACTAAAACTGAAAGTGATTTAGGGTGAGTAAATATGCACCTATGCTGCGGTGCCCTCCCGTTATAAAGCACACTGACGGCTGTGCCCCAGCGGTGATGTTTAAGCTGCCACTGGTCCGGGCAGGTCCGTGCTACACCCCCTATTGGACAGCTGTTGAATCGCAGCGCGGGGCTCATTCCGGCGAAATTTAATGGCTAGGTTGTTCATATCTTTTGAAGGAAGTTTTGTCCGAATTAACATCCTGAGTTTGGTCACTCAGCCACTGTAGTAAACAATAACACTTAGTATAGCCGTCTATCGCTCGGCCTATGGCCCAAGTATGTCTTTATTGTGTTGTCTCAGCTTAAGAAGATGGAGCAAATGGGATTTAGTCCCTTTGATGATAACATCTCTTCAGCTCAGTAGAGTCCATAGGGGTTGACAGCAATTAATGTTTACCAAAGAGCAACAAGGAGTGTTTGAGGGCCAGTCAAATTACAGCCCAGCCCACAGCTCCGGCTCTGCCACCTCCGCTTAGAGCTGACGGCCGCCCGCGAGGAAAGACGGAGCTGCATGAGACGTCATCTCTTAAACGGCCACGCGCCGCTGCTGCTCCACATCATCAACATCATCGTCATCATAATCATTATTATTATCATCAATAATAATAATAATAATAATAATAATAATAGACGCTCATATATACATATTATAATTTAAAAATAAAGGTATTTTCCAAAATAATTTAAAGTACAAGTAGTTTGTTTCCTAAATTTGGATTTTAGTATCTTATATTTTTCCTTGCCAGTTTTCAAGGTATAATACAGCACAGACACATTTAATGCAAAGGTTATTTCTTTAGAGAAAATATAAACTGTAACACGGAAACATTCCTTTGATGTAGATCATATCTGCAGGGTGTTCACAGGGTGGGCCTGCCTCAGCTATTGCCAATGTGTCAGGCCAGTGGCCCAAGGTCTTTGTTCTCCAAGGCAGCCCAAATGCACCAGATCCCACGTCTGTTCAGTGTTCTTCCCACTGGACCTGGGGCCAATCAATAGTTATTTTCTTACTATAGAACAGTGCAGGGCCATGCGTTGGATCGAGGTTTCCCTGTGTACTTATTTGTTTATTATGCATAACACAGTCAATGTGGGGGAAACACAGAAACGGGTTACGGATGGAAAGACCAATGTCCATTCATACTTTATGATATCTGTGTTTGGGGAAATAAGCGGTGGTCTATATCCAAAACATGTTACAGAAACTGGGGGCATGACTGTGTTTGTGAAATAATGGGTGGTGTGTGTTTCTGAAATAACAGGTGATCTATTTTTGTGAAATGACAGGTAGTCTGTGTTTCTGAAATAACAGGTAGTCTGTGTTTCTGAAATAACAGGTGGCCTGTGTTTCTGAAATAACAGGCGGTCTGGGTTTGTGAAATAATGGGTGGTATGTGTTTGTGAAATAACAGGTGGCCTGTGGTTGTGAAATAACAGGCGGTCTATATTTCTAAAATAACAGGTGGCCTTTACTCACACCAGACAGATGCAGCACAACTGTGTTACAATCAGGGGTCACCGCAGTGCTTGTGAAATTGCAGGTGGTCTGTTTTTGTGAAAAAGCAAGTGCTCTGTTCTTGTGAAATGACAGGTGGTCTGGATGCAGCCAGCATCACAGTTGGTCTCCAACAAGGTCTAGAGTGTCATTCATGAATGTCTAGATCTCACTTTCATTATGGATCTGAACAACATCACTAGTAACAGGAGTGTGACATCCTTAAAGCGAAATGTTTGTGTGGTCATCCTGCTCCTGGAGCACCTGGAATCCAAAAGGCCTGTTACTGTTTTAAACAATATAACTAAATGCTTTGGGCTTCTCCTATAAATAATCATATTTGTCCAGGGTGACCTGATCCTAGTTTGTCATTAATTAATCACGTTGTATATGTTTATGCTTGTCTGAGTGATTTTGGCTGTTGTTGCTGAATTCAGTCTCTGCACAGAGATTCACTTAAACACTGTTGTGGGAAACAGGTTCAGTCGCACACAGTGAGAATCCGTCTGCCAGTGACTGATCGCATGAGTAACGATACGTGTGATTATGACACATGAGCAGCAGAGAGCAGCAGGCAAGGCCTCTTTCTGAGGAAGGCTACTCTTCCCGCCAGAAGTTCCCACCATTCTAATTGCTCGGCTATGTAGGGCCATAAAAAAAGCTGTGATTGGCTGCTGAATCTCACCACCTTCTGGCTAATGCAGAAATGTACAGAAACACAGGTGATAGTTATGAGAACAAGAGAGCAGCTGTCATTTCATATTGAGAATCAAGCCCAAACAGGGCAAACAGGAATGCAGCAAAAACGTGGCGGGTAGTGCCAGGTCAGTGCTAGGGCAGTGCCAGGCCAGCAGAACCAGAACCATGGAGGGTGTGTGCCTTTGATATCTGCCACTTCCGGTTGTTGGGGGTCAGGGGCACTACTGGTGGATCTCAGCATGATGACAAAGCCATTATCACCCCTTGTCTTGCTAATTTGCTTGTTTGTATCTCAATCAAATGGAAAAGGACCATCGGTGGTCCCTTTCTCTTTCATTGTGGCAGCGAACCCCCTGGCCCAGCCCGGCCAGGCTCGACCCAGGCCATCACTCCCCCACCGGGTCCAACGTGTCGGAGATTTATGAGAGCTCCGCTAAAGTGGCGACCCAGTTACAGCTGTGGTTTTGGTTACCAAGCCTTCACATGTACGGTGAAAACATCTATAAATAAACACAATGAGACGGCAAAACAACACACTGCTCAGCTTAGCTCAGGTCAGGATGTCGCCCAGGACAATTACAAATTCAATTACATTATAACTTCATTAGGTTGGTGTGGAACAGAAGGCCGCATATCTATCGCACTCAGGTACAGCCGGAATGGTACTGAAAGCCCAATGGCTCATGACCAGTAGTGGCAAACATGATGCTTCTTGCACATCAGAGGAAGTTAAATGTTTCTTACACATCATTCACCCATTCTCAGTAACCACTTGTCCTATTCTGGGTTGCAGGGGGTCCAGAGCCCATCCTGGAAACTATAGGAACAAGGCACAGAACAACCCAGGATGGGGCACCAACATCACAGGAGACACTCACATGCCATTTGGTTTTGGACTGTGGGGGGGGGGGTGAAACTGGAGTACCCATAAGGAACCCATGATAACACAGAGAAAGCATGCAAACTCCACACACATGGAACCCTTGTGGAGACTCGAACCCTGCTCCCAGAGGTGCGAGGTAACAGCACTAACCACTGCATCACCATGTCCCCCACTCTCACATCCCAGGAAGTTAAGAATTAATTACACATCATAGGAAGTTAAGCATTTCTTGCACATCACATGAAGTAAATATTTCTCGCACATCACAGGATAGTCAACATTTCTTCCACCTCACAGGGACTGAAATGTTCCCTGACTACCCTAAGATGATCATCTTTGGCATGTGACTCATTATACACTTATATGACAACACCCTCTGCTTTAGCTAACCTGCAAGAAAAATTTTGCTGTTATTTTCCAGTAAAATTGTGTGAAAGCTACTAGTGGTATTTTAAGCAGAAGAAAAACATTTGTTTTGCTAAGCAAATTTCCTGCCATGTAGCACACATTGAATGATTCAGATATATGGATCAAATCATTTATTTTTATTAAAGTTCTTTGTAAAACTTCCAATTTTTCATTAATGTAATTTCTCTCTCCCCCCAGCTAGTCTGAAGGCTCCTCAGCAATAATCTAATGTGACGTGCAATTTCCATTGCACAGATGATGACCACTCTGAAGCCTTCATCCACACTGCCAGCCTGTTAAAGAACAAAGAAACATATGTTCCCAGCCAATTAATACCAGTTAGGGCATATTTAACAGTGTCCATGTTACACACAAAAACATTAAATACAATTTTCACCATAAATAGGAAAATGAGCATGTTTGGGAGGCCGAATCGACGGCTCGAGCTCATTACAATCTCACGCCTGGAAACGCAGAGGTGAAGCCTTTTCCGGTGTTAAACAAAAGAGGGACACTCAGCTCGTGTTTCTGACGCTGCTCCCGTTATTGCCTGTGCTGCTAATCTCGGCTAATCATCCTCCCAGCACCACTTCACACTATCGTCATGCCTATAAAGACTCCAGGATGGAAGCTGGGGGTTTTGAACGAACGGCACACAGCTTTATGTAGGTTACGGTCAGACGTGATTCCCCAGATTGATGTGATACCCAAAGAGCGAGGAGAGCACAGAGGAAAGCGCACGTATAGCTAATAAGGAAGGGTCACCTGCCATTAGAGCTGCCTGCAGCCCTTTTTTACTGTTGATAAGATGCTGAGACCATGTCACCGTGGATACGGTCGGCTTTGTGTCTGCCTGCCGTGCGCAGGAGGGACAGTCCATGCCACTGTTGCCTAGGTACCCCCTCTGTTGTTGTGATGTCCTGTAATTGACCACCTGATCGAATCACACGAAGATAACCGGACCAGTTGCTAATTACTCTGTACAGAAGTACTCTGACATGACAGGGACATCAATGGGGCCCCACAACAGGGAAAGGTCACTCTGTGCATCAGGTCAGAGGTTGCAGAATTAAATTATGCTGATTGGTGTAAATAATAACAACAATGGCAAGTGCAAATATATCCGGAT